CCGCGAGCTACAAATCTTGATCACTTCCTTATACAAAAAGGAATTAATCATCATCAAAATTCGAAATAGATGCTATTTAATCTGACAATTACAAGCCTAACATGAAAAGCGCCCATCTACCACGGAGTGACCACCCAGGAGAATAGCCAGAGTAGCCGCGGTCACTCCGTAGGGGGCGCTAAAAAAACCACCAGAAAATTCCGCAAAGTCACAACCACGAGTTAATAGGCGGCAGATCAACTCAAAAAACAATTCACGCTAACCTCATTCGAAACAATTCGAAGTGCGGACGCTTCATGACGTTGAGGAGGCTAGCGCGAGGCGTGATCGATAGGCCGGCCGGAGGAGGACGGCGAATTCAACGAACAGTGGAGAGAGCTGTGTGTGTGTGTGTCGCCAACACTTGCGTTACGCCCCTCTTCAGCACTAAGGACTCCGTCAACGTCGTCCTCCTCATCAGCCCTCCACATCCCCCCCTGTTACGGCGGTGGATTCTGAGTGAACCCCCCGTGGCAGTGCGAAACACGTCCATCGGGGTTGAGCCAGCCAACCATTCAGGCCGCCTAGTCATCGACACGACAGAGCTAGTCCAGTCTAGCCATGTGGACGTCTGCATTCAACTTCCTACTCGCACTGCTCATATTTGCATTCAATCTACTTGTACTTATCGCTATTTCATCCGATAAACATCTTCATTCCACTACACACCTGCTCAGTTGTAATCTTTGGTTGTGTAACTGCATATCGGCTATTGTTACTATTTTCTTCAGCCTTACTCCGTCATATCAGAACGTAGTTCACTGCTCAATCGACGGTATTTATAACTTTGTAAGTAATACAGCAGTAGGACTGGGACGTTATTCTAAGCTCAGGCCCTTTCGCTGGCAAAAACTGTCACCATAAGAGCATAAAGGCCCATGGGGCACTAAGGAGTTCTATCGAAGATCAATCTGGGAAAGACTCCCAGGAAGACCTCAGGAGTTCGCACACGGTTTCCCACCTTCAGATTGTGGGAGGCGAATAAGTATGGTACCCACACTCCTAACCCCTCCTTATACTCCCACTTAGTCCGACTGGTTTTTGGAAGGATTCAACTGAAGCCTGTCCTCCATAGCGACACATCCGAAGGATGCAAGAAGGGTCGCGTTCGAGGAAAAAGCCAGGAAATTCATCATTGGCAGACCAGCTCGCATGGCTAGTCATTTACCAGGCTAATCCTAAGTTATGAAAAGGAATTTAAGCTTGGCATCATCTTCATGCAGCTACTTGTCAGCTTGTCCCCACTACAGCCAGTAGCTGGGCCCAGAATAACGTCCCAGATGGCCCACTCAGATTCCTAAACATTCCGTTTTGATATCAGATGTCAATGAACAACGAAGCTGCACAACGTGTACGTTCATGGGGTGATGGCTGGACCACAGTGGAGCAGTCAGGAGCACATGCAGCCGCTGTACTACTCAACTCAACAGTTAGCCTACTCAGTCTGCTTACTATTGGAGTTGTTCATGCACTTTCCCGACACAACTACCATCTATCCAAGTAGGTGTTTATCTTTTACTATTTTGTTTACTAATTTTGTGTAATTTCTGGCCGAAAGAGTACTAGAGACAGACTTTTTGAAAACCTCAGAGCTATAGGTCGGGCTATATTCCGAGCTATCGCGCAAGTGACAACGAGGTGCCGCTTTCCT